ATATCATATCAATCAAAATTTTCAATAATGAGAGAGATGTGATAATCATAATATTAAGAAAAATCTATAAAAATACCTATAAAAGATGAAGTATTTAATAACTTGTCCATTTGCAACTTTCCCACTCCAAACCATGTGTTTTTTGAAATTAAATGAAAAGATATGGATAACGTGTTAAAGTGTCCATCTCACATGGGTAATTTGATAAATTTCTCTAATAACAACAACAATATGCTAATACATCCCTTCACTATTGTGTGATTACAGTTTTATTATCATAATTATTTCTAAAAATAAACAAATTTAATCAATACGGGCTAACTGGTAAGAATAAATAAGGCATATGGGGAGCTTCCAAATGCTTATTATTGATGATGAAATTATAAAGGGAGCCTGTAAATAGGAAAATTTATCAAAATACACCAAAGTGATAAACTATTTAACATTTTATTCACATTTTTTAGTTTAATTTGGAAAAACGCAACTAAATGCAAAGTTCAAATTGTTAAAATGGGTAAAATATTAAATAGTTGATGAATTAGGTTATATTGAATAAATTTTCCTTGTTTGTAATTATGTTATTACTTAAAATATTTGTAGAAAAAAAACAACGAAATGAAAGGTCCTCAGACCTAATACTTGATCATTTCCATCTTGTTTATTAGCTGATTAGTAGATACTTAAAAAGATGTTATATTCCTATAGGGAGCGTTCCAAATGGAAGGCACAATCTTGAATTCAATGAAATGGATCATGAGAAAGCAAAGTTTAAGAATGAAATTAGGTAACTATTAATTGTTACAAAAAGGTTTTGATGCAAAAATAACTAGCACTTCTAGCCGTTGTCAAACGCTAACTCCATAGCTTCCTCCAAGGAAAGGGCACTAACCGTTGGATTTGTACATATCTGCACATAAGAAAAACAAAAATACCAAGAATTAAAAACTATCAGGCCAAGTAATTTTATAGAGTGAGCTTTCTATTTACTTCCACACATGTTATAATTTATACGCATTTCGGCAATATCCAATTGTTTGATTAATACTGGGCATAGTGCCACAAATCTGTTATGGCCTAATCAATATAATTATCGTGAGCCTGTGACATTGTTTTCAACTCACTCTTCGCCACCCCATAAAGATTAAACCGTCATAAATCTCCATACACAGCACTTTACACACAAACAGTTTGTTTTTCCTATATAATTGTTCAAATTAAATAACCATAATAAATAAATAAATAATGCATGGATACTTACACGTCCCTTCTTTTGCCTCCAAGGCTGAGCCCACCAAGCAGCGCCATGGCCATCTATTTTTCCAGACCCATCAACTGTGAGCCCATTAACATGGGAGAATACAAGCCATGTTCTTAAATTGGCATCTTTCCATAAAGAAGGAGGTGGCGCCACAATATCTCCTTCCACCTACACAAAAAATTAAATATTTATTACTTTTGTTACAAAAAGGTTTATGGTAAAATTATGGGCTTGTATGCTATGAGACTATTTATCTTTAGTATAAATAGGTCACAATAAATCTTAGTCATTATATGTATTAGATGGTTTGGGATATGTCACAAAGTTCAAGAAATTTTTTATTAGGCTTTGAGTTATTCACAAGTACATTTATAATCAATTGATTTGAAATTCAATTAACTAGAACGTTTGTGACCTTCTTGTACTAAAAGTAAATAATATGTTTGCGTACTTTTTCTAAAAAAGTATTACACAAAATGTACCTAAAAATTTAACTATTTGGTATTTTACTTATATTTTTTATTTAATTTAAAAAATCTCATCAAATACACATGATTTTGTTATAGTTGAAAATGGTTAAAATATTAAATAAGCTTAGGGTATTTTGATAAATTTCTAAAATTATAACTTAAAGCATACAAATGTGGAAAATGTACTATAATGTAAGGAGTGAGTCCACAGTATGGAAGAAAGTTATATGTATTTACAATAACATGAACATCATTGGATTGACATGGTCCTAAAAACTCAATTGGTCCAACCCTGAACAAGTTTCCTGATGGAATTATCATCTCCGGTGAGCCTTTTGTATGGCAAGTGGCACCCCATGCCTTGGCAAATGCCTATAAAAACAACAAACATGAGTCCCAAGTCAATTAAAATGAAGCAAGATTTTGAGTTTTGGAGGGCATTGTTTTAAAACTTGGGCAAATCGACTTGGACTCACCCGAGTTATTTGGACTAGACAGGGCACCGGCGGCGTAAAAGAACCAGTCAAACTCGGCCGGTTTTTACAATTTAATGTTACTTGGCTGAGTCCATACAGAAAACTCGGACTCAGGATCCTGTCGTGTCCCAAGACCGAGCTGTTTTTAAACTATTTAATTTTGGATGAATAGATGTCAAGAAATCATGGAAATTTTTTAGATTTAGAAGAACAAATGTATATGAAAACATGAGTTAGGATATACATCAGCATCATCCTTCTTGCCATCACCCTTGGCTCCATAATCCGTGACAAAAATATTTATTTTTGGATGTATAGATGTCAAGAAATCATGGCAATTTTTTAAATTTGGAAGAACAAATGTATATGAAAACATGAGTTAGAACATACAGCAGTGTCATCTTCCATGCCATCACCCTTGGCTCCATAATCCATGACATCAAAGCTCTGGGAAGTAGAATTTGAGTCCGATAAGGGAAGAATGCTAGCCCCACATAGACCAGCCAAACCCCAACAAATGAATAGATAAAAAATTGTGTATTGAGCCTGCAAGAGAGAGAGAGTGTGTTAAAACCCCATAATAGAGAGAGAAAACTAAGCAAAATTGCAAAAAAAAACTTAGTTTTTTAGCTCCAAAAACACTAACTCTCAATGTAGAGTGGCATTAAAAAGAAGGTTGAAGGAAGAAGCAATACTAACCATTGAAAACAATGAGAGTGGGATTGGAAATGCTTTGGAAGAGTGAGAGAGGCCAAAGAAGAGAGAGAAATCAATGGTTCTTCATTGCATGAACAAAGGGTTGAAGGGGTCAACTTTATATAGAACCAGGGACGGCACAGCCATGGCCTATGTGTAGGACTTAGCCAAAATTAGCAAAATCAGTTATTTGCATATGTTGGCTATAGATTGTCTATGACCAAAATACCTTTGGTTAAAGTTTGGAATAACCAACTTGCCCCAGCCTTTTTCTTAGTTAATTTCCTAATTATAGCTTAATGACAATGATTAGTAACTACAAAAGTATTTGTACTTTCTGTTATTATTAATGGAAAAAAAATTAAAAAGGGTAAGGGGGCTTTATCCCCCCCCCCCTTAGATTTACCCTCAAAAAAAAAAAAATTACTACAAAGGTATTTTGGTAATTTAGCCTCCTTTGACGTTGACAAACGGTCAAACTCCATAAACGATAGTTAGACAGTTAATCTAGTAATCAATAAAAAATAAGCGGTTAATACGGGCCCTTGTTCTAGACTTGTAGTGCTTAACCACAAATAGGCTGTTAATGAAGGCCGTTAAATTAGTGGAAGTGTCACTTTTGGCTCAAAATAAGGCCTTTGAAAGAAAAGAATGAGAAAGGCCAGTTTTAGTCCCCTCCCCGGTGAGAGAGAGAACCACATTTAGAGAGTTGACTTAAGAAGGACAAATTTTGTTCCCCTTTAAACCAGCTCTCATCATTAAAAATAGAGAGAAAAAACCACATTTAGATAGATGATTTTAGAATAACAAACTGCCAACTTTTGTCCCCTTTGAACCAGCCCTTCATCAGTCAGTGAGAGAGAGCGCAAACCTCATTTCGATAGCTGAGACTAGAATGAGAAAATATCAAAATATTGTATGTTTGGGTAATTCAGTGGGTAAGACAGGCCCTTACCCATTTTTTTTATACTAACAAATAGCAGTTGATTTGAATTCTTTTAAAATAAATTAAAATTTTTTTAATAAGGGTGTAGTTTACATAAGGTTACAACCTTAAATAATAAAAGTAAAGTGCACCACCAAATTTTATCATAAAATATAATTTTACCGTACAAAATCATAGGATGTCTTGAGATATTTTTGTTGTGATGATATGATGTATAGCCTGTTTAACTTGTGTGACGAGTTCAAATGTCAACGATAAGTGGCTCTAGAGATACTTAGTGAAAAGAAATAGTAAAAAAATTTCATTGTAAGAATGTGTAAGAGTAACTTATGTAACTTATAAAACTTATAATGAATTAGAACGAATGAAATTTAATAATTAAAATTTTATAATTTGACTGATAAATTTATATTATACTTATAAATATATAAATAATTGGTTAAGATCCAAAGTTAGCATTCAACTAATATTAATCTGAAATAAATTACTATTTCGAACAGTGGAACATGTCTTTTTTATGGCGGAACTATGTTGTGCTACCCGCTCGACTTGTGTTAAATTATTTTCAAAAAGTATGAATTTTAAGTAAAATATTACCTAGAGCAGTTAATGTATCATTTTGGTGGTGCCATCATTTTGTACTACTGACAACTTTTTAAAAAATTAACATAAACACAGAATTTATTTAAATTGGACACATTGTTTTGTTATAGAGTTTAAAATGTCGATGTCGATCTGGCTTTTATATGATCCATATTTAGTTTTTGATTAGTAATATGTCATTTTTGTGTTGGCACTATGTTGTGCTACCTGCTTGACTTGTGTGAAATTTATTTTAAAGAAATCAATATGAATATAGAATTTATTTAAAATGAGCATATTGTTTCATCGTAGATTTTAAAGGTATCATGTATTGCTACGATATTCGATGCCGTGTGTTGTCATACAAGGTATGATTTTTGTTATTGCTTAAGAAAATTAAATTTTTGCAGTTGCCTTTTATTCTTAAACGAATTTTAACTCGTTTTATACATTATTTTAATAGGGATTTTGAATATCTCATTTAGGAGATTCATTTTGATATATTATATTGTTGGGCTTGAATAATTTGTGATATTGATCTTTTATTCGGGAAAAGGGGCTAACTATTTTTTTATTTTTTTTAGACAGCATGAACAATTGGGTAAATGTAGCTAATAATTGATAGAGAAGTCAAATTTTATTCTTTGCATGTAGATATTTTGGCAATTTTAAATCCCTATATACTAGGGCATTAAATTTAGAAAAAATTTTAGGGTTTTGCATAGAATTATTATAGTGAAAAATTAAGGGTATTGGTTTGATTTATTATGAAATTTCTATTATTTGCTGATATGATTTGTAGGGGAAACATCAGGTAAATAATAAAATAGTAGTATCAATTAATTTCAATATTTAAATTAAATATTACTTATTCTATTTTGATTGTATAGTGATAAATATATAGATTTAATGATAAATAATGAAGCTTTTATATTTTTATATTTTATATCAATTAATATTATTTGTTAAAAATAGTTAACATGGATATAATTAGTCATTCTTATTCAATTAAAAACAACTTAATAATCCTATGATGCCTTTTCGAAAATAAAATTTCAAAATGAAAATTTATACAATTATAGCTAAATCAGATCACGGGCAACACACATGCATAACACCAGTTATTAAAAATTGGGCAACAATGGTGTATATATTAGGGAATGTATATAATGAGACCATTTACTTTTGATACAAGTGGTCACACTTACTTACATCCATCTGATGTGAAATTTGATAGCTTGGATGTGTCACGAAGTTCAAAAAAATTTCTTTTGAAATTTGAGCTTGATCAATGGAATAATTGCAACCAACCGATTTCACATCCAATGATCAAGATAAATATGACTACCTTGTACCAAAGATAAATGGTCTCCCTCCATACTTTCCCTATATATTAATTTGGTTCTTTCTATGTATTTGCTCGTATTTGCTCATTACAAAAGAGTGTTGTGCATGCATGTTCCCTTTAACCTAGGGTTCCAAGCTTGAACCTCTTAGGTAAAGACTAAGATCTAAAGTGACCAGGCTAATCTCTAAGAAGATTGAGATCCAAAGCCTCCAATCTAGTCCCTAGAAGGTTAGAGAGAGAGAGAGTAATGGATCAATCGAGGCATGGCTTGGCAATGACTTGGCCTTTGGCTGAGCCAAAGGCATTGAGGCAATAAGACGGTGCTCTCACCATCTGTGGTTAGGTCTATGCCATCAATAAGGATATCAATGCAAGCCACACTTTTAGAGCAAGCCAATGTCTTTGATTGAAGTTCCACTTACTCCAATAAATTTCACCCCTTTTACTTGAGCAGCTGATGTCTATAGAAAACCAAACACAAGATGAAATATTATTTTGTTTCAGAGATAGTTTTTTGGTAAAATATATCACAATCACTTCTAGCTGTCAAAATGAAATTCAGCTACTACAGATATGCCACTCACCATACTCAAAATCCGTAAAAATATTTTTCATATTTTGTGTAGAAAAATGACACCCCACCTACCTGATTTCACATCTGATGGCTAAGAGTGATAATAAAAACATCATTGAATTCACATGATTCTAAAAATTGAATTGGTCCAATTCTGAACAAGTTTCCTGATGGAATTATCATCTCTGGTGAGCCTTTTGCACTGCAAGCTGCATTCCATGCCTTGGCAAATGCCTATAGAAACAACAAACATGAGTCCCAAGTCAATAAAAATGAAGCAAGATTATGAGTTTTGGACATTGTTTCAAAACTTGGGCAAGTCAACTCGGACTTGCCCGAGTTATTTGGACTCGGCTGGGTGCCGGAGGCATAAGAGAACCAGTCAAACTTAGCCGGTTCTTACAGTTTAATATTACACGACCGAGTCTATATAGAAGACTCAGACCGAGCACCCATCGAGTCCCATGTCGAAGCTGTTTTTGAAAATATTTATTTTTGGACCAGTAGATGTCAAGAAATTGTGTAGATTTTTGAGATTTGGAAGAGCAATTGTATATGAAAACATGAGTTAGAACATACATCAGTATCACCTTTCATGCCATCACCCTTGGCTCCATAAACCATGATATCAAAGCTCTTTGGAAGTGGGAGTAGGGACCGATAAGGGAAGAATCCTAGCCCCACATAGACCAACCAAACCCAACACATAATTAGAGCAAAAATTGTGTATTGAGCCTGCAAGAGAGAGAGTGTGTGTTAAAGGCCCATGTTAGAGAGAGAGAGAGATAATAGTAGAGAACTGGAATCTCCAAGTTTGAAACCAAGCAAAATTGGCAAGAGAACCTAGCATTTATAGCTTTTAAAACACCATCTCTCAATGTAAGGTGGCATTAAAAAGACGGTTGAAGGAAGAAACAACACTAACCATTTAAAACAATAAGGGGAGTGAAAATGCTTTGGAAGAGCGAGAGGCCAAAGTAGAGAGAGAAAAAGAAGAGAGAGAGAGAGAGAGAGAGAGAAATCAATAGCTCTTCATTGCATGAACAAAGGGTTCAAGGGGTAAACTTTACATATGACCTTGGACTTCACAGCCACGGCCTATGTATAGGACATAGCAAAATTAGCAAAGTCAGTTATTTGGTATACAGATGTTGGCTGGAGATTCTCTATGGCGAAAATACCTTTGGTTAAAGTTTGGAATGAACAACTTGCCCCAGCCTTTTTCTTAGTTAATTTCCTAATTATAGCTTAATGACAATGATTACTAACTACGAAGGTATATTTGAACTTTTTTTTATTTTTATAGTTTTTTTTAAATAAAAAAAAAAAGAAAGAGGATAAAGGGCCTTATCCCCCACTTGCTTACTCCAAAAAAAAAAAAACTACGAAGGTATTTTGGTAATTTGGCCTCCTTTGAGTTGAAGAACCGTCAAATTCCATAAACGATAGTTAGACCGTTAATCTAGTTATCAATCAAAAAATAGGCGGTTAAGTGATCAACCAAAAATAGGCCGTTAATCAAGGCAGTTAAGTGCTAAAAGGGGATACGTCAAGCAAAAAAACCCCCGGTAAATTAATGGAACTGTCACCTTTGATTCAAAATAAAGCCATTGAAAGAGAAGAATGAGAAAGGGCAGTTGAGA